AGTGGTATTTTTGTAAATGGACATTTCTCTTTATAATTAATTGCCCTTTAAAATTTCTAGATTTTTTCTAACATTTCAACTGTGTTTTTTAAAAAAAAAATATTTCTATTAAAATTTCTACATAAAAAAATTATTTCCAAAAAATTTCTCTTCTATTAATCGTTTTTATTTTCTGGTCAGAAGAAAAATTGGTATCGTTTTCATCAGTCTTATATTTATTCAGACAGTTCTTTAAGCAATAAATCTTTTCTCTGTTCTCCCGCTTTACCTTTAAAATATTTTTCTTTCCGTGATGACTAACCTTTTGATTAATTAAGATTTAAGATAAAATTTTTATTTTTAATCACGAACACATTTCGCTATCGATTATATAAATTTAAGATAAATCTTTTCTAAGGTTTCTTAAAACAATTAGAAAAATCGTATTAAAAAAGAAACAATTAGTAAGAAATGTTGCTAGTTGGTATACTATCTCATCATCCATCAACTCTATTTATAGATACAAATTAACTAAATCCAAACATTTCTCTCTCTCATAAAGTTTTACACAATCAAAACTAAAATTATTAAAATTTTACAGAAAAAAATGAGAAGTAAATCTCTCCTTTTACTGTTGCTCGTTACTTTGGTCTACATTGGAGTTTCCGCCAAGAACCACTCTTCAAGACCTAAACTAAGAAGAAATGATTTCCCACAAGATTTCATTTTCGGATCTGCAACTTCTGCTTATCAGGTTTAGCTCTAATCATTTCTTCCTTTTATTTCATTTTGTTATTTTTTGTTAAATTTGTTAAATTTTGCAGTGTGAAGGTGCTGCTCATGAAGATGGTAGAGGACCAAGTATATGGGACACCTACTCTGAAAATTTCCCGGGTCTTTTTTCCTAACCCTAATTGTTTTTGGATCTTTAAAACATTCAAGACTTGGTATTGGTTTATATATATGAATTCTTATGTTCATAGCAAAAATGGGTTTTGATGATGATGCACATTCTTGATCCTCTTTTTTCTTGAGCATAAATTATATTTTGATTAACAGTTTGTCTTTTTTTTTTCAGAGAAGATATTGGATGGTAGTAATGGGTCCATTGCAGATGATTCTTACAATCTTTACAAGGTATTATTGCATTTCTTCACACCAAATAAAGTCAACTATACATCCAACATTACATTTTTTATTCATGAGAACTTCTTGAAAAAATCAGGAAGATGTGAATTTGCTACATCAAATTGGCTTTAGTGCTTACCGATTCTCGATCTCATGGTCACGGATTTTGCCTCGTAAGATTTAGAGTCATACAGATCTTTGTAAGAGTTGTTATATTCATGAATACTTATCATTTTATTTGGTTTATTATAGGTGGGGATCTAAAGGGAGGAATCAACCAGGCTGGAATTGACTATTACAACAATTTGATTAATCAACTTCTGTTAAAAGGTAACAATTCTCTGTTTTTCAGTCCTTTAAACATTAGAGTGACTTTTGCTTTTAAGTTATGATGTACAATTGCCAAAACCATTGATAATGTTGGTCAAGAACACAACATTAAAAGTTGCTTGTAATGTTCTAAACATGTAAGGAGTGAAGCCATATGTCACACTCTTTCACTGGGACCAACCACAAGCACTCGAAGATGCTTATGGTGGCTTCCTCGGAGCCGAGATTGTGTAAGTAGTTCATTTATAACATCAGAAACAAGAAAAAAATGGGTCTTTCTTTTGTTGATCTTTTGTTAATGAACCAGGAATGATTTCCGGGACTATGCGGAACTTTGTTTCAAGGAGTTTGGAGATAGAGTGAAGCATTGGATGACAATAAATGAGCCATTAACAGTGGTACGCGATGGTTATACAACTGGTTCAAAGGCACCTGGGAGATGTTCTAATTTCACTAAATCTGATTGCACTGGCGGTGATGGAGCCACCGAGCCTTACATTGTCAGCCATAACTTCATCCTCGCTCATGGAGCCGCCGTTAAAGTCTATAGAGAAAAGTACCAGGTCTATTTCTTCAGTTAGCACAATGCTCTTTCTACTTTGTGTTCGCTATGCTCTATCTTCTTTACACTCTTTCGCTATTCGTTGTTTTGCTCTGTTTTCTCTGGCTTTACTCTGTTTCCGGCATCCTCTGTTTCGCTCTGTTTCTGCCATGCTCTGCTCTACTATGTTTCTTTACCGTTATAGCTCTGGAAATGGCGTGTGAGGGCCAGTAATGAATGATAATTTCTGTTATGAGATCCTCATATTTTGTGTACAGGCGAATCAGAAAGGTGAAATTGGTATCGCCTTAAACACAAGAAGTCATTACCCTTATTCAGAGTCAGATGCTGACCGGTCAGCCGCGACTCGAGCCACAGCCTTCACCTTGGACTTCTTCATGGAGCCGCTCGCCACTGGCAGATACCCAATTGAGATGGTCAACCACGTGAAAGGCGGTCGTCTTCCTACATTCACACCAGAAGAGTCCTCAATGCTCAAAGGTTCATACGATTTCATAGGCATAAACTATTACTCATCTGCTTACGCAAAAGACGTGCCGTGTGCAACTGAAAACATCACCATGGCCACTGATTCTTGCGTCAGTCTTGTAGGTCCGTGAACCATAGGTTTTCTCTAACCTATAAATTGACTTCTTCTTCGAATTGTCATATAATTTTTTCTTTTGTATATTGTCTTAGGTGAGCGAAATGGAGTGCCTCTCGGTCCAAAGGTGTGATTATTCTCTTTAGTTTAATTCAAACTTATATAAGTTTCCTATCGAATCAAGGATAGTTGACTAATTATTTAATAAAGTAAAACTGATATATAATGTTATTGAATTTGATTAGATTTTTTTCTTACATATTCTGAATTTAAGACGCTGAGAAAATGATTTTATTTTTTAAAATAGTTAATTCTTTATCCGATTTAGTTTTTTTTTTTTTTAACTTTTATCCGATATAGTTATTGTTTTAACATATGTAATGTCTATTAATCTATGATTGAATTCAGGCTGCGTCGGATTGGCTTTTGATTTACCCTAAGGGTATTCGTGATCTCCTACTATATGCACAATCCAAATTCAACAATCCCGTCTTGTACATTACAGAAAACGGTAATTTATAGCATTTGATAGATTTAAAAAAAAAAAAATTCAAATGTTTTGAACAAAAGGCTAATATTTTTGTTTCTTAAAACCATGTAGGAGTGGATGAAGCTAGTATTGGAGATATATTTCTTAATGACGATTTGAGAATTGATTACTACGCTCATCACCTTAAGATGGTCAGCGATGCGATCTCGTAAGTCTTCCTATTTAACCACATCTATAAACATATTGTGTTAGGAGCGCCCGATCGATTAAACCAATCCAATCCAATACAAAATTGTCGTAAAAAAATATCAACCTAAACATACTCCATTTCGGTTTTTTGTTTGTTTGCGTCTGTAGAAATCGAACCTGAAAAGGAGAAACAAACTAATTAAAACCCTTTATTTTTGTAACATCTTTTAAGTTGGATATACTCTTCCACTGAATAAGATAAGTTTGAACCCAAACTATCTAGAGCGAATTGAGTGGTATTTTCCATACTGTTGTCTACATTTCATAAACCAAGACATATTATCTAATAACCAGATTGGACACACGTATAATGTATGCATTTGAGGCGTAACCAGGGGCTGAAAATGATTGTCTAAAAGATATTTACATAAAATGTAGGATGGGGGTGAATGTGAAAGGATATTTTGCATGGTCTTTGATGGATAATTACGAATGGTCGGAAGGATACACGGTCCGATTTGGGCTAGTGTTTGTGGACTTTGAAGATGGACGTAAGAGGTATCCGAAGAAATCAGCTAAGTGGTTCATGAAATTGTTGAAGGGAGAGTCTAATGGGACGAAGCAGCAAGTGGCTGTCATTTAGTAAATCATGAGCTATTGGTTAATTTTGTTTCCTTTTTGTTGTTATTTATACTACGTACCGTTTCTTTTTGATTTACAGTACAGAAAATAAATCTTTCAAATAAGATGTGCCGATGTGGTTTTATTGGAAAACCGTGATACTTCTGTTCTTTCGACAGTTTCCAAACATAACAAAAACATTGAGCTCATATTCAACGATGTTATTAATATAAAAAAAAAAAAGAGGGGCCATTCAACATCAGAAATGGATAATCATGGGATCAGCGTTTGAATAAAGTTTTACAAAATGATTTCCCACGTTGGGTTTTACTATTATTCATTACATTTTTTGAATTGACCAAACTCATCATGGCCATTCGTTTCACGGCAACAAAACCCCTGGACTAAACGAATTTATATTTTTTTTTTGCTAAGAAAACGAATTTATATACGAATTACGAAATATGTATTTCAAATTAAAACGAATTTATATACTAAATATATTTTTCATGTTAAGATACTAAACCAAAATGACAAAATCAAAGAATAAAAAATTCAATAATAACTAAATAATTGCCTTATAATTTCTATTTACCTTTTTGACATTTTAATATTTTTTATTATTTGGCCAGAAGAAAAATAATCGTTATCAAGTCTTATGTTTATTCATAATGCGCTCGAACAATAAATGTTCTTTATGTCCTCACGCCCTAGCTTTTAAATAATTTCTTTTTGTGTGATGACTCAGCTTTTGATTAATTAAGATAAATGTTTGAGTAAATTAGCTAAATAACCAATAATTTATAGGTAAAGGTTTCTTGAAACAATTAGAAAAATCGTATTAAAAAAGAAACAATTAGTAAAGAATGTTACTATTTGGTATACTCTCTCTCCTCCACCAACTGTATTTTTTAGATACAAATCCAAACATTTCCCTTTCTCTCATAAAGTTTTTCACAACAAAGTAGTCATAATACAAATAAGAGATATTTACAGAAAAATGAGAAGTAAATCTCTCCTTTTACTGTTGCTCAGTACTTTGGTATACGTTGGAGTTTGCGCTAAGAACGACTCTTCGAGACCTAAATTAAGAAGAAATGATTTCTCAGAAGATTTCATTTTTGGATCTGCAACTTCTGCTTATCAGGTTTAGCTCTAATCATTTCTTCCATCAACTACTATTATTTTTTGTTAAACAAAAAAAAAAAATCGATTTTGCAGTGTGAAGGTGCTGCTCATGAAGATGGTAGGGGACCAAGCATATGGGACACCTACTCTGAAAATTTCCCAGGTTTTTCTTCCTAACCCTAAATGTTTTTGGATATTTAAAACATTCAAGACTCAAAAATGGGTTATCAAAAATAAAAAAAAGACTAAAAAATGTTGGTATTGGTTTATGTATATACGAATCTGGTTTTTACTTGTGTTCATAGCAAAAATCGGTTTTGACTTCTGATGATGATGGACATTCTTGATCCTCCTTTTTTCTTGAGACTAAATTATATTTTAATCAATAGTTGTTTTTTTTTTATTCAGAGAAGATATTGGATGGTAGTAATGGGTCCATTGCAGATGATTCTTACAATCTTTACAAGGTATTATTGCATTTCTCCACACACAAAATGTGTCAATTTACATCCAACATTACATTTTTATTCATGAAAGTTCATTGGAAAACCAGGAAGATGTGAAGTTGTTGCATCAAATTGGCTTCAATGCTTACCGATTCTCGATCTCATGGTCACGGATTTTGCCTCGTAAGATATAGATCCGATCAGATATTTGTAAGAGTCAGTTATATTCACGAATAGTTTGATCACTTTGTTTGGTTTACTAGGTGGGGATCTAAAGGGAGGAATTAACCAGGCTGGAATTAACTATTACAATAACTTGATTAATCAACTTCTGTTGAAAGGTAATGATTCTCTCTTCATCGGTCTATGGTAACATTAGGGACTTTTGCTTTTAACTATTGTCAAAATTCATCAAGTACTCAACATGTAAAGTTGTTGTAATGTTCTAAAAACGTCAGGAGTGAAGCCATATGTAACACTCTTTCATTGGGACCAACCACAAGCACTCGAAGATGCTTACGGTGGCTTCCTCGGGGCTGAGATTGTGTAAGTAGTTCATTTTAAAACTCTAAATGGTAAGACTATGACATCACAAAGAAGAAAAGTGATCTTTTTTTGTTGATCTTCTTGTTTTGAAACAGGAATGATTTTCGGGACTATGCGGAACTTTGTTTCCAGGAGTTTGGGGATAGAGTAAAGCATTGGATGACACTAAACGAGCCATTTACAGTTGTACGCCAAGGTTATATAACTGGTGTAAAAGCACCTGGAAGATGTTCTAATTTCACTAAACCTGATTGCACTGGTGGTAATGGAGCCACCGAGCCTTACATTGTCGGCCATAACTTCCTCCTCGCTCATGGAACCGCCGTTAAAGTCTATAGAGAAAAGTACCAGGTCTATTTCTTCTGTAATCTCTATGCTCTATCTTCTTTACTCTCTTTTTTCGCTATTCATTTTTTGCTTTGTTTTCTCTGGTTAGTTCCCGTTACTAGATCATCATAAATACATGTGTGTGTAGAGAGATCGTGACTGCGTTTCACTCCTAATATTCTGTCCACAGGCTAATCAAAAAGGTGAAATTGGTATCGCCTTATACACAGAATGGTACTACCCTTATTCAGAGTCAGATGCTGACCGGTCAGCCGCGGCTCGAGCCACGGCCTTCACCTTGGACTACTTCATGGAGCCGCTCGTCAATGGCAAATACCCAGCCGAGATGGTTAACCATGTCAAAGACGGTCGTCTTCCTACATTTACACCAGAAGAGTCCTCAATGCTCAAAGGTTCATACGATTTCATAGGCCTTAACTATTACTCGTCTTATTACGCAAAAGACGTGCCGTGTGCAACCGAAAACATCACCATGGCCACTGATTCTTGCGTTAGTGTCGTAGGTCCGTGAACCATATGGTTTTTACTTATAAATTGACTTTTTCTTGCGTTATATAATTTAATTTTTTTTTCCATTTGGATATTGTATTAGATGAGCGAAATGGAGTGCCTCTAGGTCCAAAGGTACGATTATTCTGCTCAGTTAATTATTTAAGTTATCATAGTTATATTTAATAAGATCAAATTTTAAAGAGTAGTTTTGTCTCTTTTAGACTTTTAGTGGTATTTAAAGTATGAATTTTAGACGTTTAGAAAATGAATTATTTATCCGAAATAGTTGCTATTTTAACATATGGGCTGTCTATTAATCTATGATTGAATTCAGGCTGCGTCGGATTGGCTTTTGATTTACCCAAAGGGTATTCGTGATCTCCTACTATATGCAAAACTCAAATTCAATAATCCCGTATTGTACTTACAGAAAACGGTAATTCATAGCATTTAATAGTTTTTAAAAGAATAATAGAATTTTTTGAACAAAAAAGCTAATATTTTTATTTCTCGCCTCTTTCTTAAAACCATGTAGGAGTGGATGAAGCAAGTATTGGAGAAATATTTCTTAACGACGATTTGAGAATCGATTACTACGCTCATCACCTTAAGATGGTCAGCGATGCGATCTGGTAAGTCCTCTTTTTTACCACATCTATAAACATATCGTGTTAGGAGCGCCTGATTGATTAAACCAATCCGATCCAACCCAAAACCATCGTAAAAAGAATCAACCTAAACATACTCCATTTCGAGGGATTTTTTTTTGCATATGTACAAATAAACCCTAAAAATAGTAACAAACTAAAAATCTTATAAGTTGGATATAATCTTCCAAGAAAAATATAAGTTTCAACCAAAACTATCTAAAGTGAACCGAGTGTTATCTTCCATGCGAAAATGGAGGCCGGAAACGATTGTCTTTCTTTAAAAAGGCTGAAAACGATTGTTTAAACGATGTTTACATAAAATGTAGGATGGGGGTGAATGTGAAAGGATATTTCGCGTGGTCTTTGATGGATAATTTCGAATGGTCGGAAGGATACACGGTCCGATTCGGACTAGTGTTTGTGGACTTTGAAGATGGACGTAAGAGGTATCCAAAGAAATCAGCTAAATGGTTTAGGAAATTGTTGAAGGGAGAGTATAATGGGACGAAGCAACAGGTAGCTGTTATGTAATAAATCAGGAGCCATTGGTTATTTTTGATTGTTTTTATATGTAATACGTAACGCTTCTTTTCGATGTACAAAAAATAAAACTTCCAAATAAGAGGTGGTTTTATTGGAAAACATTGGTAGTTTTGTTAGTCTCCAAACATTGAGCTCATATTTTTAGTCTCTAAAAACTCGAATGTTTATTACACATGCTGTTATGACTGTAATAATATATTTAATTAGTTCGTTAATTGGTCTTGAAAATACAAGAAAATAGGAGATGGAATGAATTTTGTTCTTCCTTATTAAAGAGTATGCAAAGGAAACTTGTATCACTAACCTTTGGGCTTGTATCTTTCGACATTTTTAAGACCACGTAACTACTTCTTGTATACCAATTAAAGGTTTTCTTTTCAAGTAATTAACTAAAAAAAATATAGAAAGATTCTAAAGTTTTTTTTTTTTTTTGCCGACGGATTCTAAAGTTTTTTACCAGTCATATTCAATGATGTTATTAAAAAAAATGGTCATTCAAAATCAGAAATGGATAATCATGCCACCAGCGTTTGAATAAGTTTTATTAAAATAAATTTCCCACGTTTGGTTTTATTATTTATTTAATTTTTCGAATTGACCAAATTCATCGTGCCCACACGTTTCAAGCAAAAATCTTCGACAAAACGAATTTATATACGTATTATCTATTTTCAAATTCAGAGACTAAACCTAAATCGAAGCATAGAAATTTCAAAACCAACGAACTAATTGCGTTAAAATTTCTATATATTCTTAACATTATAATTGTTTGGTAAGAAAAAAATGTCTTCTCGTTGTCACTTATAGTCTTATATGGATCATTTTAGTGTATAATTAAAAAAAAGTAAGTAAAAGTGGGTTACATAGCAAAATCATGATCATGAATATGGAATTTTTGG